AATAGGCTGCCCCGGGGAGGTCGTGGAGTTTTGCACTCTGGAGACATTCAGAACACAGCTGGATGTGTACCTGTGTCACCTGTTCTAGGTGACCGTGGGCTAGATGGTCTCCAGAGGTCCCTTCCAACCCTAAACTATTCAGTAATCCTGTGATTCTGTCACATTCCCTCTGATACACCCAGGGTGCATTGCTGGGGCTTTAGGTGACCCTGGACTAGAGGATCTCCAGAGGTCCCTTCCAGCCCTAACTATTCAGTGATCCTGTGATTCTGTCACATTGCCTGTGATGCACCCAGGACCTGGTGCTGCCCACGGCCCAAGGAGTGTTTGTGTTAGTCCTGCCACTGCAGGGTTATCTGACCAGGCTTATCTTTACAGGCTGCCAGCCATGAGCCTGTGTAATAGACCTGGAAACACAGAGTAGCAGGTGCTCAGCTGGGTTTACGGGACAAGCTTCTGACAGTTTTAAAAGGGTGATTTTGTTAAAAAGTCAAATTTCCTCTGTCCCCTTGGCCACGTTGAGTATAGGTGAGGAGCCTTCCCTATGGGCTCTCACCCAGCACTGCACAGCTACACCCGATGCCTTCATATGCCCCGGCACTTCTCCCCCACCTGGGTTATTAAATGCCAGTATATTGGCTTGGCTTTAGTGTAGGCTTGGAAACATGAGCTCATGGTCATTAAGCTGTTGATGTACAGATCTGTAAAACTGGAAGGATCCTGGGAGGAGCAGAGCATCAATTGATAGCACTTAAAGATGATTTGAAGGTTCTCTTGGGGTAACTGTCAGGAAACGATCTACGTTAGAGTGTATGAAGTTGCAAAAACTTGTCATTAATAAACTCCCTGTGGTCAGATACTTGGTGTCCCTTGGGACTATCAGCCTGGCAGCTGAGGCCTGCTCCTGTAAAATGTGAGGCACTTACAGATACCACTGAGCTGAACGTGCTGAGAGCCCAGCACCTTGCAGGAGCAGGCCTTGGAGGTGAGCAGCACTTTTGTGCACTTATCCTTGCATAAAAGAAAGCTTCAGCTCTCCTGGATTTCATGTCGATTTTCAGGTTACACAGTAAGCACTTGTTGTCACACTGCAGTGTGGCTGTTCCAGAGTGGGCAGGAAGGTGCTGGCTTCTCTAGCCGGCCTTTGACCGATTGCTATGTCCCCTGCCAACACCGGGTGGCTTCGCTCCTCTGCTTCCAGCTGGAAAATCACTGATGCTTGCGAGTGAGGAAGCGCACGGAGGTTGGAGCTGATTCCCATTAACTGCTCTGTGGTAGTGGCATGTGGACTTTGAAAAAGGAAAACCAGCCTGTAAACCTGTACTTTGGGTGCTAAACTAAAGTATTAAATTCACTTCCTTCTGGCTTTACTTTTTTACAGCTCTGTTAATCTTCAGCCAAAAGCTGTTAAGAAGTGGGATGCATTACAAGCACAGGAAGGGTATTACACTGGTACTTAGAAGAAGAACCAAAGACCAATCTCTCAATCCAAGAAAGTATTTAGTGTGTAGTTTCCCTCTGTTGCCCTTTTTGGGTGACACCTGATGATTTTATACACCTACCCGCAGCTATTCAGTGCGGGTCGGTTCCAAGTAACCGTAACTGGAGGAATAAAATAAAAATTGGTGGATTTTTTATTTTATTTTTAAACTAGACTGCTGTGATAGTACTTTATTCTATCCAAGTATTTCCTTGGAGCTGCCTGCAAGCACTTGTCCACATCTATAGCTTTAGTCTGTGACTTGGCTGGACTATTTACTTGTGTACAAATGACTTGGGCTTGAGTGTCTGTAGGGTCTAGGGCAGAGCTGTCCTCACACAGTAGTCCAGTGACCTGAACATTGCAAAGCTGTTTTGCAGCAGCTTGTTGAATGGGTGATGCTGAGTGCATCTCAGTAAACTTTTTTCTGGGGCAATTATTTAATAGGAAACATTTTA